AATCACTTAAATCGTTTACTGTAAGTTTCTAAACACTGGTTTTGATTATATTCTTGCGAAAAGAAAGCAAGAGAGTCAATTTTAATGTTAAAATAAGTTATCAAATTATGTAATACATCAGTTTATACGTTTATTAAAAATTTCAAAGAATCGAGAATGATTCGATCGTTTTAAAATATATCAAATAAATTATTAAAAAACAATAATCAAAGATCTACATGAGCTAAAATTCATAATAATGTTAGAAACTCAATTAAATATCATAAAAAGACAATCTACATGATTTATAGCATTAAGAAAAGTCTAATTATTATATTGTAGCTAAAAGTGTTACATTTTCTATACTGTTGATGAAAGTCGTCTTGACGAAGTCAAGCTTATTAATTTCTTATTTCACACAGAGAAATGGCTTTGATTATGCTTTATCATTAGTAGAGTTATTTATAACTTATTAAGTAGTCATGACTTTTGAGATACCCTGTACATTTATTATCAATGATCAAATGCTATTATGAATAATTAATGTAGTATTGAGTTGTACTTTCTTAACAACATGAAATCTACATAGATCCCTTAAGATCTGAACTATTCAAATAAACACTTGATAGATTAACCTTAAATATATCGTTCAAGTTCAAAGGACATCGATTAAATCAAAGCGTCATAATGAGGAAATTCTATGTATGCGAAGCAGTGTATAAAATCGAATAGAAATTCGTAAGAATCAGTTCCGTTTTTAAATGTATCATAACAATACAGTCACTAACAATATAAAGTATAAGTGCAGACTAAAATATCCACAGAATAAATGTCATCATTCAACATAATAAATTGGACGGTATTCGCCAATTCATTCTTTTATCTTCTTCAGGTTGATAAAACAATGTGGAAATAAACTGAATAGTTATCAATGACTAAAAAATAAGTATCTAATGAACAATTAATTAAAATAGAAATGAAAAACATAAAAGTCTTCAATGAATTTTTTTTTATAAATAACTTTATACAATTTTGCAATACAAACGATAAAAAAATATTCAAATAATTTATTAATTTTAGTATTTGTTAATAAATAATTCCTTGGTTAAATATATAAAAACTTACTTATTGTGATTTTTGGTTTAATATCTGTATTATCATTGTATAAATACAAATTTGATCCTTTTAAACATGTCCAATAACGTTTCCATTGACGTTTTGATGCTAATTCAACTTTATGATGACGTTGTACAGTTAACCAATGTTTAATATGAAGCCAACTATTAAAACGAAAGAAATACATAAGCTACTTTAAAATGAAAATAAACTTAACAAATAAAATATATTTACCTAGCTTTTTGTAATCGAAAATTTTCAAAAGAATCTTCAGACAATTGACTATGAGGTTTTATTTGAGGAACTGGTGTTCTATCATCATCTTCATCATTATCATTTTCATCATCATTATTACGTTCATCATTAGAATCTGAATCTAAAATCAATAAATTATATGTTTAAGATTATAAATTCAAATGTCTTTAATAAAAATGCATTATATTTTATGCCAAGTTGTGACCTTGGCATAAAATGAAGAGATTATGTGCATCATTGTTATTTTTATGAAAAGCTACTTAAAAATTTCATTTTCTAACAGACTTATATGCATCTAATTTAATAGCATGTAAATACCTTGTTGTTTGTCTACTTGTTGTTGCGATTGTTGTTGTTGTTGAGAATAATGAAATGAATCACTATAATTGCTAAGTCTCCAACTTGATCCACTGTCACGTCCAATGCCACTATCTGTACGTTCGGATTCATTAAAACTTGTTCGATTTATATCATAATTATTATCATTTATTGTCTGATTATGAGTACTTTTTATTGTCATTTGATTAGAGAAGATTACGTCATTATCATCATCAACAGTACGATTGTCTATAGATTCAATTGATGAAGTATTTCTAATGGGTAAAGATGTTTGAAGTGATGTTGTTGCTTGTTGTCGTTTAAGTTTACTAATATTTCGTCGTATAACAACAATTTGCTCTTCATCTTGTTTTTCGTTATCAGAAAAAATTAAATCAGCAGTTGGTAAATGACATTTTTCATCATCTGAATTACTTTCATTACTACTACTGCTATTCATAAACATACCACCGGACATCACCGTTTTGGTTACTTTCGACGATTTCTTCATTCATCAGTTCATGATATATCTGAAAAAAGAAGAAGACGAGGAAGGAGAAAAAAAGAATAATAACTACAATAATAGCAAGGTGACCGCGATTGCCTTCTTTCCATTTAATGGAAGAAGGTAGACGGAAGGAAGACGAAGAGAGTGTGCGTGTGTTAGAGTGAGAGTGAGAGAGAGAGAAGGACGTGTATGCGCGTCTGTCGCCCTTTGTTGTACTCGACATATAATATGCTTTGATTTCAGGTTTACTTGCATCTGTTCTCACACATATCAAATAGACGGTGGCATTGTAGATGCAACTATATATAGAACTAACTTGCTTTTCTAATTATTATTACTATTATTATGATCATTATTATTATTATTATTCTTAGTTGGTGCTGGTACTGATGGCGTTAGTTGGAATTTATTGTATAGAAGTCTATATTTGTGTCTTTCTTTCTCTCATTTCATAATAGTATTACGAAGAAAAAAAGTGAGAGAGTCGATGTGGTGGTAACATGATAATAGTGTTCAATTATTTTCGTCTTTCTTTTTCTTTTTTCTTTTGTTGCCTAGTGGATGACAAGTGAAAAGAATAAAGAAGAAGAAGAAGAAGAAAACACTATACCTTCATTTTTTCGCTTTCCTCTCTAAATGCCTATTTGACAAGAACGAAAAAGTGATAGCGAAAATGATCGAAGGGCAATGCATACATATAAAATAGATGCCCTTGCATAACACTCGGTTAGAAATGTCAATATGATGACCCGATTGTGATCATTTACTTTTTGCTTGACATCGTCAAGTGGCTACTACTTACTACTCTTCGTTTTTGCTTTTTACATCATCATCATCATGGATGTGTTATGTTGATATTGAAATCCATCTGCTTTTATTGAAGATTACGGCCTTGTTTCTTTAGTAGGAAAGCGTGAGAAATAATAATAAAACTAATCACGTTAGAGCACTGTAAAAGGTTGTCATTAACTTGATTTTCATTAATTGATGAAAATTTCTATATTTAAGATGTTCCATTGAAATAAACTAGTTAATTACTATAAGGTTACTGAAAATAAAAAAAAATAAGATAGGAATGACAGTATAACAGAAGAAAAGCAAAAACTGTGTTAATTGATCGATGTCATACACGTACGCCATGTGTTAGTTTACATGTTCGTTAATCTTTGTCAACGAGAGTCGCCGGTTCATGCCGAGAAGACCATATTTGTCACATCAAATTGAATAGAAAAGATCGGAAGATGAAGGAAAAAAAGACGGAGAACACAAAGAGAAAAACGATCGTAACATGGCACAATGCCAAACATTAAATAAATGAAAAGATCCACCCGATAACACATTAGTCTTCATACTGATGCTATAAGTTATATAAAAAAAATGTCATTACATACCCTATAAGTATTTTTAACTTTGATTTTATACAAAAAAATCTACAAGAATATTTATTGCTTCCGGCTGAAAAAACCAACATTGCTTTACTTATATTTTGAGAACGACGATGTCGAGATCGTTCGTTGATCGCATTCCTACGACATCGATAATGGCAAGAAAATGCAACAATGCCTTAGAAACGTTGAGCAAGCCCATGTCAAAACTAATTTGTTCGTCCGTTTGATTCAATTATAGAAGCCCTGAAACGATCGGTCGTTTTGTTAACAGAATGAATAAAAAGGTTCTTTCCAATGTCTAAAGTCGACTGATTGTTATAGAGATCGAGCTTGGCATTGCTGATATCTTTTCACGTATTAAAATGCATATGGTGCCCTTGATACATTGCACACACACATTAAGCACGTACTACGTGCATATGAGTACAATAATGGATATCCATTGAGTCTTGATGATGGAAATGTTTTGCTTAAGGAATCGAATGAACATTAATAACAACAGGAGGAATAGTAGAGAACACCCGGCGAGAAAGTTACTGCTATTGCTGCTACTGCTGTTGCTCTCGTTAATGTTCACAAGGATTCACATTAATTTGTCACTCGAAATAATCACATTGTTGAGTGCTTACATGTGCTCTACATAGTCATCTGCTCTAGTCTGTGTGCAAACTGTGCATGAGTGAATTATCGTAGACATCTTTCTTTTTTTTTTCTATCCAATCCAAGCACATTGTCTTTGATCATCAAAGAATTAATCCCCAAGTCAATAGATATACTAGCGAGAAAAAAGAAAGGACACTAGGACCAACAATTATCAATGACGTAATGATTTTTTTGTTTTTGTCTTATATTCTTAACCTTTTTTTTAAGTTAGAATATTTTCTTTTTGTTTTACTGCGTTGCATTCGCGTGAAACAAAAAAAAAACAAATAGACTTCCATAAACACAAAGAAAAACAAAAAAGGAAACCTGGTGAGCATACAAGATAAACGTCGTTCATCTATTTAAATCACACACACAAACAAACATTGAATATACAACAAAAAAACCCAGAACAAAAACTGATTCTTCTTCTCTTCTTTTCTTTTTATTCCCACAACTCGCATAATTCTATCAGCATATATATGTGTGTGTGTGTTTGTGTCTATACGAGAAGGGGAAAATTGAGTATAGATAGATTGATATAAGAAGAACCAAAAAGGAAAAAAAACCAACATAAGCCAGAAGAAGAAGATTATGAGAAACTATACAAAATAAAGAAGCATCACATCGAATACTGACTACAATAGTACACAAGAACACTGTGTGTATGTATGTAGATAAGAAAAAGGAAAAAAAAAGATTTGAGATGGAGAATGAACAGAAAGAGAAAAACAAACGAAAGAAAGAAAAAAAAACAATTGAAATAACAAAACAAAAAAAAAAATGATACAGAACTATTGAACTGTACTCGTTATGACAATTAACAAATAAATTTGTTCAATTTTATTTTGAACAACACAACGATAAGTATCCGGTGCACGTTTTTGTAAAATTTCAGATGCAAATTGACATGGTGGAAATATATGTACAACATAAGCTGGTTGTGATACACCGGGCAATAAAACATTGACAATTCCGGCTGCTTTTTTCTCATCAAAATATCGTATAACACCATTTTTTAAATTATTTTGTTGTATACGTATTTCATCTGGTGTTGAACCATTTGGTTCAGCTATTAAGATACAATGATCATTATCCATTTGCATACGTTTTTGTACACCTTCAAGTTGTGCTTGTTCTAAACGCATACGTTGTGATATACGTAAATTATGATGTGAAGATGATTGCAAATTTGATGATGCTGTTGATAATGAATCTGAATTCCAATAATTCATTGATGCGCGTGCTATTTGCGGACTACCAGCCACAAGTTGAGTTTTAACATATGCTTGATCATTTTTTAATATTAAATTTCCTTGCCATTGAACATTATAGGGATCACGCGATAATTCATTTGTTGGTGGATTCAAACGAAAATAAGGTTCAGGATTAGAATATAAGTCAGCAGCAAATGGATGATGACTACCAGTCATACCCATTACATTGAGCATTTGTTGAGCAGCAGCATAAGCCATATTTGGTGGTGGATAAAGACTCGGTGGTGCGCCATAAAGTTCCGATGCATCAGCATAAACATTACGAAATGGTACAACAGAATCTTAAACGTTATTTTTTTTAAATATACTTTACAATAAAAATCAAAAAAAAATATAAACAAACCTGGTCCAAGAAATTGTTGTAATGGTGATGCTTGTTGTCGCATAGCAACTGCAGCAGCATCAAGTGAATTTAATAAAGGTGATGCTTGTTGTTGTTGATTAATAACTGTATTTGTTGGTAAATTTGATGATGATGACGATGATGATGATGTTGTTGAAGATGATGATGGAATAGTTAATGGAATCGGTACTGGTACTGTTTGTTGAATAGATGTTGAACGATTTGTTGATGACAATGATATATTTGAACTTTTTGTGCTTATAGAATCTCTGAAAACAAAATAATTAAGAAAAAAAAGTATTATTAATTAAAAGAAAATTCTTTACCGTTTCGATGCTTTTTCATGAGTAAGTGGATTTGGATTTGTTGATGACGAATTTTGTTGTCCAGCCATAATTGTATTAAGAAATGAATGATTGATAATATGACTACTTGTACTTGGGCTACTACTACTTGTTGATGATGTTCGTGTAGATAATGGTGGAGAACTTGAAACAAGTGATGGAGCGAGTAGATTTGATGATGAATTTCCTGTTGGATTTGATGATAATGGTGCAAATAATGGGAATGGAAAACTTTGATGATGAGCAGCAGCTGCTGCGGCAGCAAATATACTACCATCTGGTGTGAGCATATGTGAAAATGGATGCATCATTGCTGATGATGCGGTTGATGATGGTTGTTGTAGCTCAGTTTTAGGTGTTGATGAACGTTTATGACTTGTGGGTGTTTTAGATAATGTTGGTCGAACAAGAACAGGTACGATCGGAGTCGTCGATGAACTTGCTGTTGTTGTTGCTGTTGTCGGAATATTTGCCGATATTGTTGTTGTTGAAATATTTGCTGGTGCTGCTGGTGTTGTGGTTGTTATTGTTGTTGTTGTTTTCAACGGTGATGTTGAACGATGATGTGGATCAAATAAATTTAATGTTTCACTTGCTGTTGTTGAAGATGTTAAACAAGGTGTTTTCATAACATCACGTAATATATTTGGTATTGATGTTGATTTATTAGTACCAGTAGATGTTGATGATGATAATGAATTTGTATCAACAATAGATGTTGTTGGTTCTGTTATTATACTAGTTGTTGTTGATAAACTTTTAGCAACATCATCAATAACTTCTCCAATATGTGATCTTGTTGTGGTTGTTGTTGTTGTTGTTGTTGTTGTTGATGTTGTTATTGGTGTTTTTTCTCCAGTAATATTTGATGATGAAACAATATTTGATACCATTGTTATTAAATCATTTTGTTGTGTTGAAACAGTTGAAACACTTGTTGTCGTTGGTGTTGTTGCCACTTGTCGAGTTTGCTGATCTGTTGGACTGGGTAATGATGCTACATATGAATAAACTGGTTTACTTATGGTTGGTGTTATACGTGCAGCACCTTTTATTGCTGGATGATCGCCGGATATATTTGAAGTATTATTATTGAGCATAAGAAGACTATTTACTGCACTTAATGTTTCTTCAACATTTTCATCTATAGAGAGAAAAAAAAAGTTTTTGAATTATTTCGAAATGACAAAAGAAAACAAAAACAACATACTAAATGTTGCTGATGTTAATGACGATTTAATTGGAACATGTGAAGGTAATATAGAAGTTGTTGTTATAGATGTTGGTTGATGTTCAACAATAGGTAATGTTTCTTTTGATATTGGTGCTATAATTGGTGATGATTTTTCTAGATTAGATGTTTTAGATAATGATTGTTGTGGTATTTGTATAGATGAACATAATGCTTTAATAGCAATTTCAGTTTCAGTACTTGTGGTTAATGGTGATTGAGTTGATGTTACTATTGAAGATGATAATGGAATTTGATCAGTTTCCATTGGTATTATTTGTGGTTGATCAATAGTTGATGGTGGTATTGATAGTACTGCTGGTGAAGGAGTTTCTTGTTTATTTTTTTCAGATGATACTGTTGATACAATAGTATCTTCTTTAGTTTGTATATTTGTTTTTGGAGAAAGATTTTCACTAAGTTCAATTTTATTTTGTAATTGTACTGTTGAATCATCTGTACTTTTACGTAAACGTTTTGGTTCTTTATCATTAATTGGAGATGATATAGATGAAGATTCTGTTATAGATAAACGTTTTATATTTGTTGATATTAGTGCTGGTTGTTCTATTGATGATAATAAATTAGAATCTGTTGATGTTATTATTGATTCGGATTCTTTTTCATTGGATATTGTTGATTGTATTGTTTTAGCATTTGTTTTTGTTTGTAGACGTTTAGTAGAAGATGTATCTTGTTTTGATTGTCGTTTACCTTTACCTGTTGCTTTTGTTGTTGAACGAGATTGTACTGGTTTTGTTCCTTCACGCAAACGTGTACTAATTAAATCACTAAGTTGCATTGTTTCAGGATTAAGTGTTTCATCATCACTTAATGGTGGTTGTGTTGTTATTGTTGGTGGTTTTAATGTATTTGTATTCGATATAATTTGTTCATCCTTTAAAGTTGTATCATTATTATCATTATTATTAATAGATATTGATTCATTATCATTCTCCATATTTTCATCATCATTTTTCGATGTTTCAGTTGATTGTGTACGACCAGATAATGATGATGATGATGGTGGTGTTATTGAATGACGATGATGACTAGCAAATACAATACCAAATTTAGTTGGTGTTGTTTGAGATTGTATTTCTGTTGATAGTTCATCAATTTTTGGTTCATTGGTTGTTGCTGTTTCATCGGATGGTGATGTTAGAGTAATTGATGGTTTGTTTGTTAGAGAACTGTCTGATTCAACTGGAATTATTGTTGACGATGTTTGCTCTTCAATTGAAGTTATTTTAGGTTTTTCGTCATCAACTTTAAGTTTTTTTGTTGATTCATTTGATTCATCGGTTGATGGACGTTTTGGTGTTGATACTTTTGTTTTAGCTACTTTTGATGTTGATTTTATTGAATTAACTGAAGATTTCCTTTTATCAATTGTTTTTGTTATAGGTAATTTCTTTTTTGTTGTTAATTGTTCATCATTTGTTTTAGTTAATTTTTCTTTTTTCATTGGTTCATTATTTGTTTTTAATGTCGATTTGTTTATTTGTTGTGTTTGTTGTTGATTGATTTTCTTTTTACGATTTATTGGTTTAGTTGGTTCATCACTTTCTTCAGCATCGAATACATTATTATCGAATACAGTTGATGTTTTAGTTTTAGTTTTTGAAGATCTGTCGATTTCAGAATCAGATGAATCACTCATAACATTCTAAGGAAAAAGGAAACAAAGAATTTAAATATAAAATAAACAAAAATAAATATTTTATATTACATGTCGTTTTGGTGTAATATTGGCTGGTCGACTAGGCATGTGATCGTCGTCATCATTATCGTCATCGCCATTATCATCATCATTGTCATCGTCATCGTCATCATCATCATCATCATTATCATCATCACTGTTTTCATCAGATAAATGACCTTCACTGGTTGATAATGAACTATGAAAAGATCAAAGAGAAACGTTATAAATATGAGTTCTTATACATAACAATGAGAATTTTTGATCAAAATTTGTTTCTGAAAAGATTTCTAAAATATTTATTTTTTATAGTTTAAAGATTTATTTCCACTCAGGACATTATGTTATTGATTATGAATACTCAATTGCAATAGAACTTTACGCTAGAAGAATAAATCAATGGTTTCCTCTTGTGAATTTCGAAAGGAATAAACTCTCAATAAAAAAAAATGATGAAGAACTCAAATTATCTTATTTTATTTTCGTAACATACGACCAAAGGGGGGGGGGGGGGGGGGGGAAGGGAGGCAACGCCTTTGCGAAGATTAGATTGATTCTTTCGAAGTTGATGGTTATTCTATCACATCTATATGTCTTTAGTACTAGAAATATTTGGAACCAAAATTTAGAAATTGGCCGAGATCACACGAAAAGATTTATTCCGACTGAAACTAAAGACTATGATTAAATATTTTATGGTTTTGAGGCAAATTCTTTTCTAAATCATATCAATCAGAAAAAATAGCTCAAGATAAATGACATAAAACAGTGCTAGGCGTTCTAAATCGGAACTAGATTCGATTTACCAAAGTGATGACCGGAATCACTAGGAAAGAAGTTATTGAGATCGGAACCAGAACACCTTTGTCTCGTACATCTGCAGTCTGTACTCCCAAAACGAAGCCTTTGTCCTCCTAGAGTTTAAATCATTACTTCAGAAAAGAACATCTCAATAAAACATACACTTTGAATTAAATCATAATTCTATAAAATAAAGGAACTTATAAATTGACAATAATATTTGTCTCAAATAAACATAAACCAGAGCACACATTTTTCATTTGTATTTCATTACATAAAATAAAGAGAAACAAAGCCATACCTATTTCGTGTTTGTTCAATTCTTGCTCGTTTTTTAATTCTATCATACATACTAGTATCTTGTCTTAATTCTCTCCAATTAATAAGATTTTGTGTTGATTTTAATTTATTTTTATTCGTTGTTTTAGTTCGTTTATTAATTGTTTCTTTTTTAACTTTTTCATCATTATCTGTTGATGTTTGTTCATGATCAGAATTCATAATTGTTTGTTCAGTTCTTTTTTCATCATTATCTGATGCTGATGAATTTGTTTCAGTAATTGTTTGTTTTTTATTTGTATTAGTTGGAATTTTATTTTTAGTTTTAATTAATTGACTTTTTTTTGTTGTTATAATTTTTTGTTGATGTTGTTGTTTACGTTTTGTTATTTCATTATTTAATAAAGATTTTTTTGTTTTTTGTACATCAATTGTTGCTGGTTTTTTTTCTGTATCACTATCACTTTGAATAATATGTGTACGTTTTAATTTAAAAGATTTATTTGAAGATTTTTCAAGTGATCCAGTTGTTGTTAATGTTGTTTTTAAAGATTTTGGATCAATACGTTCAAGTGTTAATTGTGGAACTTTTGCACCAAGTGATGTAACAGTTGTTTGTTTGGTAGTTTTAGTTATTTTTGTTGCAGATTTTACTGTATCACTTACAACGGGTTTTGTTACTGTTGTTGTCGTCGTCATTGCTATTGTCGTTGATGATGATGATGATACAGCCGTAGATTTTTTAGGAATCTTATCTAATGTTAGTTTTTTTGTATTATTTGTATCATTTGATAATGTTTGTTTCGTTGTCGGTGCACGTCCTGAAGATTTTTTTTCATCTGTTTGACGTTCATCAATATCATTTGTAAATATATTTGTATCTTGTTGATTGAGAGATTTTTTCTTTTCATTTGTTATTACAATAGGAGTTGTTGGTGTTGATGGTGGTGGTGGTGTACGTTTAGTTGTTGATTCAATTGATGTTGTACGATTAGTATTTGTTTGTGATGTTGAACGTGTTTCATTTGATGCTAATGGTGATACATAATTTGTTGATGATTTTCGTTCATTTGTTGGTGATAATGATGATGTTGGTGATGGATTTGATAATGAACGTTGTTTTAATATAGATTTTAAACCTGTTGATGTCTGATGTTGAAGAACAGGTGATGATATTGTTACTGGCGAACGATGTAAATTTGATCCTGTATTTGTTGGTGTTGTTGATTCAGGTGATGGTAATATAGAAGAATCTTTCATATTTGTTGGTGTTGTTGGTGTTGTTGGTGTTGTATTAACAGCTAATGGTGGTGGAATTGGTCTACGTTTAAATTTAGCTGATGGACCAAGACGTTCAAGAATTTTAACTGATGATGTACTTGGAGAATTTGTTGATGAATCCGAAAATGATGATACGGATGAAATATTAGATGTTGGTGGACTTAAAAGATTTGTTGAATTAGAACGATTTGGTAATGATAATGGTGGTGGTGGCAGTGGCGGACAATTTAATGTTGGAATTAGATTATTATTCGATGATGTATTAAGTGTTGAAGTTGTTGATGAAGGATTTAGATTAAGTGATGGTGATATAAGTGAAGCTGGCACCGGTGGTGGTGGAGGATGAAGTGTAGTAGCAAATGACCTAAAGAAAAAATTTTCAAGATTAATTATTTCAAAAAGCGATAGAAATATAAAAAAAACGAAGAAAGAAATTTTACATTGAATTATATTTTGCTGCTGCAATTTGTGTTTGAGCAATAGCCGCATGAAATGTTGTTAATATTGAAGTCGATGATGGATCAGATAAACGTTGTAAATTTGTAAATGGTGGTGGTGGAGGTGGTGGCGGCGGTGGTGGTGGTGCTGTTAATACTGATATATTTGCTGGTGATGGTGATGTTATAGGTATAGTTCGATTTAAACCTAATGTTGGTACAGATGTAAGTGGATAATGAAATGGTGATGTTGTTGATATAGTTGGTGTTGTTTTTGATGGTGATATTGTTTGTGTTGGTTGTGCATTTAATGCAGCACGTGCTGCTTGTATACATTGTGCAAGTGTTGTTGATGGTGTTGATGCTGAAAGTGTCGATACAAGTTCATTAACACTTTTAACAGTTGCATTTGTATTTGTTGTCACTGTTGCTGTTGATGATGTTATTGTTGTTGTTGTTGTTGTTACTGTTTTTAAATTTTGTTGTTCAATAAGTATAGCTGGTGATAATGATGAACTTGATGATGATGATGATGATGATGTTGTTGATTTTTGTTGTCCATGATTCATTTCATACATTTGTTTATCTAATAATCTAATACGTTCATCAAGTGGTATACGTGTTGTTGATAAATCTTCATCATTATTATTAGTATTATTATTAAGAAGATTTGTATCCATCGATAGATCATATTTTGTTGTTGTCAATGTTGGTGTAGTTGTTGGTATGGATGATGATGGATTATTTAAACCTAATGATGAATGTTTTAAATGTGCTTTTGGATTAAGTACAACAAGAACATTTGATGATGTTGTTGATGATTTCATACATTCAAATGCAAATTGTGGAAATGGTAAACGTATTGATTCAATATGATCATTAAATAATGATGGATAACTTCTTAAACGTACATCTAATTGATCATATGATGATACTGAATCAAGTGGAATTGTTTTTGTATGATTTGTTGATAAATGATATTTTGTTTTATGTAAACGACGATGATTTGTATGATTATCAAACTCATCTTTAGCTATTGGTGTCGTAGAAGGAGTAGTTGCTGTTGTTGTTGTTAACATTTGTGTAGGTGATAAATGAATATCATTCGTTGTCATATTATCTGTTTGGTCATCACGTTTATTACCTGTACGTATTGGTTGTAAACGATACGCTGATGTTAATAAAGATTTTTCATTTTTAGAATTTTTTAATGCTGCTGCTGTTGCCGCTGATGATGATAATGGTTTACTATTTGTTGTTAATGTTAAATTATGTGTTTCTATAGGTGGTGATGTTTTTGATGTTTGTTCATCACTAACATTTTCAAGGCTATCATCATCCGGTTTAGGTTTTAATGAATTTTCTTCATCATCATTTTGATCCAAACCCATTGAACTGTTGCTAACATGTAAATGATTTTGCATAAGCCAATCAAAAACACGTTCAGTATTTTTTAATGGTGCTTTTGGTGATGATGATGAATGAATTGTTGTTGTTTGTTGTTGTTGTTGTTGTTGTTGTTGTTGTTTTGGTTGTTGTGATGATGATGGTGGTGGTGGTGTTGATTCCTTTTTTATTGTTTCCAATTGATCTTCAAGTGTCAAACTTGGAAGAATAACTGGATTCGGTTGTTGTTGTTGTTGAGGAGTTGAAATGATTGTTAATGAATCATTATCTTTTTCAGATTTTAGTGATCTCGAACGATTCGATGAAGATTTAATTGTGTGTTCTTTATTTGATGAAGATTTTTTTCCTGATGGTATTTTTAAATTATTATTTGTTAAAGGCTTTGATGTTTTTTTCGATGATTTATTTGAATGTTTATTTGTATGGTGTTTTTGATATGAATTTGAATGATGTTCAAGACTATTTGTACTTGTTGAACTATGACTTGATGTTGATGATGATCTTGAAGATGAAGATGATGTTGATGATGCATGATGACGAATATGACTACTACGATGAGGATTTCGACCGGATGTGAGATTATTTGAAACTAATAGAAAGGAAATTTGAATTTTTTTAATTGATCTATAAAGAGAATATTATTTAACATACGACTATCTTTTGATGAAGTTGATAAACGATGTCGTCGAGTATTTAATGATGAACCACAAATAGTTCCATTATCAACTATTATAAAATGGAAAAATAATAAATTCATTTCAATAATATAAATTTACCTGACGGAATGGATATTAATGTACTATTTGTTCCTTTACCATATTCTTTTGAATGTCGACTAGAAATAAATAAATAACGAATTATTTATACATTAAAAAAAAAACTTAAATTACCGATCTGATGAATGTCTTGCATCACCTTTATGCTGTGATCGATTACCATTATTATATGCATTTGACCATCGATCACTACTATTTGTTCGAGTAGATAGTGTATCAAATGTTTGAATTGTTTCAGGAACAATTTCACGTGCGGTACCATTACGTTTTGATCTAAATCGGAAAAAAAAAATTATTTTTGACTCAAATTTGTCAGGAAGAAAAATCTCTTCTTTACATACACAGCTCGAGATTCTGCATGATAAGTTGAATCAGACGGATAACTACCATAACTAAAAAGAAAATTATAAGCTCGAATTCAAAAAAAACACAACATCTCTTTACTTTTTCTTATGACTAGTTTCTTCAATAATATCCGAAAATCTGGTAACGAATACTTTACTAGCAAAATCTACTTGTATTCTCTTTGAATCAAGCTTTTTTCCACGTATTGAATTTATAGCTTCTTGTGCAACACGTGTTTCAGTAAAATAAATTAAACATTGCGCTGTTTGACTTTTATGACTATTACGGTTATCAATAAATATATCAACGACATCACAAGCAGGTAAATTTGTATGACGAACTATAAAATTACGTATTGAAGATTCTGTTACATTCAATGGTAAATCATCAAGCCAAAGTACATTCGTTGGTTGACTTTTACCAAAGCCGAGCTTAAAAAAGAAGAAAGAAAAGTAAAATTAGTGATTAATAAAAACACATAATTCTATTGAAAAATATGCTAATATAATTTAAATAGTTTAAATGATTTAGAATTTTTTAAAAGTTGTCAATTATCTATATTTAATTAAGCAAACAGGAAATAACCATTACTAATAAAATTCAAAAAACAATTTGCTATAAAAGTTCATGAGAGAAAAATGTTATACTTTATGATATAAAATTCTCAAGATTTTGTTTTAAGTGTTAAAAATTTTATATAATAAATACTTGATTAAGTTCAACATTTAATTTTTCTTACCAGAAAAGTACTCTAAGTGTTATCCACCATTCGAGCTTATATTAGACCTACAGGCAGATCCGAGTAGGAACAGCAAAAGTCTAAAAGAGTTTACCTGGGTGGGCTTCTTGGATTGAGTTATGACCGATTTATAGAATTTTCGATGCATTTTAAGGTGCACCCGAAAGACTGAATAAGAAATTTTTGATCTAAATTTTTGCCGATAGCTAGGTCTAATGACTCTTAAAAAATCTTGAAAGTTTCTATCGAAGAGAATATTCCTTCATCGAATTAGTGAATTTACAAGTGAACTCGATTTTTGTAACAAAGGGCTATTTTCGAAAATTCAATATATTGATAAAGAAACATTCTTTTCGATTGAAATTTTCGCAATATTTTAAGTACCATTAGACCTATCTGTAGGCAAAATTTTAGATTTGAATGCTATCATTTGAAGTTTTTGAATATGACTTACAAATGCGTCGAAATTGTCTCGTTGAGATCTGCCTGTAGATGCAATATGAACTGAAAAAGTAGGTATCAGCCGAGGTAATTTCCTCGTTACGTTATTGTACATCGAAATAAATATTCTAATGTAATCTGTCACTAATACTAGATTTGAATTTTTATAAATAAAAAAACTATTCAAAAATGATCTAAATCGTTTAATCTATTCAAAAGAAATAACATAAATATTTTATTTATGATTGAAAATTTTTCGATTATCCTAAAAAATGATATATATTGATAGATATACTTTAATTGAATGATCTCGTGAAAACTTTGAATCAAAAGCTTTCATTGCTTTAACAACACTTTTAATATCAGCATATTGTACAAATGCAAACGGTAATTGATGTGGAGATTGTGTTTGACGTTTTATTTCAACTTCCTACGTTTTTTTTTGTAAAAAAAAAATAAAAATAAATAATTTCTTTTTCGAAAAAATAAATTTATGCATACAATAATATCACCATATGCTGAATATATTTCACGTAATTCATTATAAGATATTTCTGATTGAAGATTTCCTATATATAAAGTACGTGTTGCTTTTATAGAATATTCATCAATATCAGGATCTGAACATATTGAACGTTTCATTATATCACATTCATCATTTTCTAAAGCAAAAGAAAAAATAGTACATTTGTAAATCGAACTTTTTCTTATTTTAATTTTTACCATTTATGATTCCATCGTATGGTTCAGCTTTTAATCTAACACCATTTATAGATTTAGTTATTGCAAAAGTTAATGCTTTATCAACATCATCAGATTTTTTGAATGTTAATAAAGCATAACGTGATTCATGTTCACCATCAATTTTAACTGTTAATAAACGACCTGATCTTTTAAATTCAACAAATACATTCCATAATAATTCACGTAATGATTCTTCTAAATATAGAAAACTATACTTTTGAATTGTTCCATACAGAATTATAAAACGTACTAGGAGTTTTTGATGGTAAATGATAAATTTTTAATATTCTTGTTTTACCCATTGAATCATTTAATGATGAATGAGTTTTAGTTGGATTACGTCGACGATTTTTACATGAAATACTAAAATAAAAAATTTATTTTAGTTTGTTTTGGATGTCTATATTAATTTTAAAATGAAAATACCTATCATCACTCGATCTTTCGGATTCTGATGATGAAGAAGATGACGATGATGAAGATGAATTTTCATGTTTTCGTCGTGGTGGTTTTTGTATTGTTGAATGTGAACTATTTGCTGTTCTAATAAAATATTCAAAAATGGATGAATTAATTTTTAGGTTTGTTTTCATACATAGATAGTGTTTTTTTTTAATCAAATCTTACTTTGAATTTTTAGTGGATGATGTTTTTCTTTTACTTCCTGATGAATCAGAGTCACGTTTAACAGGTACAACTTGATGTCTAATAGGGTAAAGAAGAAAAACAAAACAAAATCATAAATAATATTTCTCATTTATTTTTTCCCTCGCTCAAAAAAATGTCAAAAAGACATATTTCCTTTTTTCTTTTTTATTATTGTTTTTTTCTATTTGTCGTCGTATTAAGCAAAAACAAAAAAAATGCCGTATCTTTTTTTGTATTAACCTTATCGCGCTACAAATATCAATTACTTTACTTAATATTCTCATTCAAATAGACAAGTAAGTTGACTCATACATGCACGGATGTGTGCATATACACTCAAGTTCAAGGCTACTACGATGACTGTTGCGCCGAATACAATGCCGAAGCGAACAAAAGAAAAAATTCAAAAAAATTGTTGAAGGACATTAAATCAGCTTCATAGAAATATATATATATATATATTAATGATCTAGGTTTATATTAATGGTTAAGTGTTTTAAAGAGAAAACAGATTGAGTCTATTTTTAAGTCTTTTTAGATAATGATCGTTTGAGGAAAAAAATCTGTTACAACAGCAGTATATATCCAAACGAAAAACTAATCATGTTAGTAAAATGTAAAGGAAAAAAACAGAACATATTCTTACCGAACATTTTCATCAGGACTACCAAGAGTACGTGATATACGTTTATCTCGATCACCATTTATTGTTTTAGTCGATAATGGATTTGTCACTGTTGTTATATTTGATGTATTCGAAGATGATGATGATGATGATGGTTCAACAATTGTCGAAGATATTAATGGTGATGGTTGTTCAGATAGTACTATAGTTGAAGAAGATAATGGTTGAATAGGTTGTGGACAAGGTTCTAATAATGCTTTAGGCACGGAATTAGAACCATCATGAAATGCTGTTCGTAATAGTTTTTCATCCAGAATATTTTCTGCATTATGTGCTTTCGATGCTGTACGTACATCCAAAAAAGCAACAAACGCAAAACGTTGTTCATCGATTTTAACTGATTGAACACGACCATGTCTAGACATAATCATAAGAAAATAAGAAAATTTATTAATTTTAAACTATTAACAAATTTTTTTTTTTTATATATATTTCTACCGTTTAAAACATTCTTTGATTGTATCTTCCGTAGCCGTTTCAGGCAAATTAGCTATAGCCAACCATCTGGATTCTGTTGGTTTTGTGGATAACGATACTTTGCTAGTCGTGGTTTCACTGGGCATGGCAAAAATTCATTCGATATACAGTAATGAAAATATGTACAAGTTGAAAAACGTTAATCATATACAGACACACACACAATAATTTGTCAAACAAGGAAACAAAAAATATTTCGAAATTTCTAAGGTCAGAACAATGGCGATATTCGTCGCCGTTGACGTGGGATGATGATGAACATTGTTGTTGTTGCCAGCATCTACATTGAAAAGAAGAACGAACGGGCGAGAGAGAAAAAAGAAGAAGAAAAAGAAAAAAAAAAACCGAGCCACCTTACATTACATTTCTTTTCTCTATAGCATTCTTTCCCCTCTTTCTCTCGCTTTTTCTTCTCCATCCATTTTGCACTACAGAGAGTGCAACAGTGTGCGCGCGCTCTCGCGCTTCAAACTATCGTCGTCGACGGCTATGGCGGTCGGAGCGACGATTGTATGTTGTATTGTCGGGCAATGATGATGATGATGATGATGATGATGGTAGTAGTGGGAGAGCAAACGTATGCGCACAGCTTTACATATACTTAAAATAATGATGGCACATCACATGGTATAGATTCTAATCAACATTAGTATTATTTTACATTCGAAAATATCACTATTAGTTTCTTTTTCTTTTCATTTTACTTTCTTTCGATAGAGACATAGAGCCATCATAATATGCTCAAGTATTTATTTTGTTGTTTTTCTTTTGCTTATGAAATCAAGACTAATAATAATAATAATAACAACAACAATGACGACGACAACAATATCAACAAAAACCCATAAAAACGATAGTGGCCTCTATTTGAGAATCTTCTTCAGATAAGGGAACACAGAAGATAGAGTATGGGAGAAGAGAAAGGAAGGAGCAGAAAAAAAGATGAATGCATAAAAGTTCGTCCGCCAATTCGTCGTGGCGTTTGTGGCGGCGTCGACAAAGAAGACGAATAGCTGGTATTTTTTTTTACTCTTTCTGTCGTCATTGTATGTATGCAGCAGCCCGAATGTTGTGTATTTCAGGGGTATATGTTAGCCCGTCTACACACCATCGCTTACTCGCTCGCTTGCATACACATACCACTTATTAATAGAGTCTCTTTCTGTCTCTGCCCTTTTCTCTTTCTCTCTTATTGCGCAGCACATTTGTTCCTTTTTATTTTAAAGCATTTGGCGGCGTCGTTGTCGTCGTCGAAGCTTCTCGAATGCAAGATTAGATTACAAGCGTATATATGTGGGGAAGTAAGCAAACGAACGGCAAGAGACGAGAGAAAAAAAAATAAGATTTTTTTTCTCACTCTCTCTCTTTTTCTCATTTTCTCCAACTACACCATACAAAGCGGGCATATATCGGTTGTTTCTCATTCGCTCGCATATATTCAAGCATCGACGACGACGACCATCGAGCCTTATGTCTCTTCCTTTTGTCTCTCTTCTTTCTTTCTTGTTCGCTTGGTCGTCATCGAGTAATATGAGGTTCATATACTATCATCGTTCATGTAGTTGATGCTGTTACTACTACTCAACAAACAACGTCATATATCTTTCTATATATATATAATAATATACGCTTGCATACATTATTCTCGCATTTCGATTTTCCCATCGTTTCAAATCGTCGATATATATGTATATATATATATATAAATTGGGCTTGTGTTGTTTTGTAGTCGTCGTGTTTTTTTTGTTTATGATAACGTCATTTCGTCCGTCGCAACTACTTCTAATACTACTCATGTCGTCTTTCATTCCTAGTTTTTAGGCATTAATTGTTTCTCATTGGATTTATGCGTATCTGTCGATGCTATTAAATTAGTGGGAAAATATTTTGTCTCAGGAGTTTAAACAACGACGATGTTTTTTTTTGATGATTTCATCTTTTGTTTATGTTGAATTTTAGCCTTTTTTTCTCTATATTTGTTTCATATGCAATTATTGGTTTGGAAACAAAGAAATTCCTGTTTTACATATATATATATATATAGATAGATAAATATACAAAGATAGAATAAAAAGCATATAAAGCAAAAGCAATGAATCGAGAGACAAAAAGAGAAAAAAACAATGAAGAAAGAATGCGCACGGCTTCCATTTTTGTGCTGACAAATAAAAAAATTCTATAGATTGTGTAGGTGGAAAGGGAGTCTGCTTCATGCAAAAATAATGGAAAACAGAGGAACTAAGAGGAAGACTGATTATATATTTTTTTTGCTTCCTTTTTTTTTCATTGGTTGTAGGGCAAGGGTGCAGAATATATAATAGAACGTATTGGCGCAGTGCCATCAATGTTGATGATGTCTTTTACGACGCTATTTTTTTTTCGCCCCATGCATCAACCTGTGTCCTTGTAAATGTCTAGGCAATCATTTATGCTATTTTCTTGCTCTTATTTGCCCTTATTTTATTTGGAGAAGAAGAGGAAAAGAAAACTATGGGTGCTCAAAAGCAATTACACATTTTGATGAAAATTCTGTTACTACTAATCATAATAAAAATAAAAACGATAAAATGAGAGAAAAAACAAAACGAACTTGAGGAATAATTAAGCTAATTGTAATAAAAATAACCATCGTCTTACATTTATAAATATATTTTTTAATATTTCTTGCTTATTTTGCAATAACGTTAATATCACATTTTTTTTATGCGTACATACAGATATAAATAGCATAGACAAAAAAGCGACAAGAAAAAAAAATTAAAATAAAACTTGTATAAAAGACAAAAAAAAGCAATAAATAAAAAGATTCGAGCTTTAAATATAATTGTCTATATCACCAAATATTTAAATAACTACTCCAAGAAGGTGAATTAACATCATTAGTTGTTTGTTGAGTTGATGATACATTATTCGTTAAATTTTCATCATTTGTTGTTATTTGTAAATTTGCAACACGAACAAGTTGTGCTTGTTCATCTGGACTTAATTTAAGCATAGTAACAAGTACAGGTATTAATTGTAAACGTTCATGGGTAGATTTTAAAATAAAAAATTTTAAAATAACATTTTTTAAATATTCTAAATTTGATATTGATTCAGCACGATCCATATTACGTTCAAGACGTCGTATTTCATCTTTAAGTAATTTAATTTGTTCATTTAAACGTGTATTGTTTAATTCAGATTCATTTAAAAGTTCAGTTGTATCAAGTAAAAGTAATTTCGTTTTATTTAATTCATCTTCTGAACGTTGTCGTTCGAGTTGAATATATTCAAATATATTATCACGTGATTTATCGTTTAATGGTGATAAAGTATTAATATTGTTTGTAGTAGTATTATTTTCAATAGTACTACTAGCATCATGTAAGACATTATCAGATGGTTTCATATCAATATTTGATGATTGATAATTAATATTAGTCGATTCGGACTCCTGAAATAATTTCAAATTAGATTGGCAAATGCTTGAACAGAATTATTATGATTAATAAAAATGAAATGATCTATGTCTCTAGAGAATTTCATATTTCCGATGCAACAAAAAACAGTTGTCGATAATGACCTCGATACAAAAATACTGTTCGATCATTATAAGAAGTATTGAAAGTTTTTTTTTTTTTTTTTGTCTCATTAGAGAAGAAATGTTATTAGAACAGGTCTTCGAATAGATGAAATACTCAATATACTAGAGGAAAACAAACAAAAAAGATTTTTCTATAGCACAAAATTATTAAAAGTGATTATGACAAAGAAATAAACAAGGAATAAAATGGAACAAATGTTTACTTCTCCTTGTTGATATTCAGGAGTACTGCATGCAAGGATATCATCTCTATTACAATGATTACTTATACCGATATGTAATGATTCAGGATTTGATGTTGGTTTTTCATTATCAATATTTGCTTGTCGTAATAATTCAATACGAATTTGTAATTGTTCCATTTTTTGTCGAGAAGTTTCTAGCTCACTTTGTAAAGCTGATATTGAACGTTCATGATCAGATTCCATAGTAGCAATTTGTTCCTGGCAAAACAAAAGTCAATTAGATTTTAATTGAAAAATTCAATTTAGATTTTGTATTTTACCTTAAATGCTCTAGAAAGCGTATCATTATGGAGTATAGCATTTTTTAATTTATCATCATTATCATTTATTCGTTGTAAATATTCATTTTCGATGTTATCTATTTCGATTTTATGCTTGAATCAAAAATAAAATTAGACATGTAAAAATAACTATTTGTTAGCCGTTTTTTGTGAAAATCGTTACTTGTTTACGAAGATCTTGTTCTCGTTTTTTTGATTCATCCATTAATTTAGTTTGAATTTCCATAAGACGATCACGTTCTTTTTGTAATGTATCATTTTCAGACATTAATAATTGAATTTTATTACTAAGTAACGAAATTTTTATTACAGATTGATTTTAAAAATGTTAGTTTTTAATTGTTTTACTTTGCTTCTTGAAGAGTTATATTTAATTTTTCAATTGTTTCTTCTAATTCAGTTTGTTTTTCTGCTAATGATGGTGTACGTTCACGTTGATTTAATTGATGCTGTTTAAGAACACTTTGTGCTCGAATCTACATTATTAAAATACTTGAGAAAAAGAAGCATGCACGCATCCAGCTCTTTATTTTTCAAGCCAAAATAAATGCTTTTTCAATTAGAATTTATAATATGCATTCTTTCTGTCGGGATTATGGTTTATGTAGAGTCCGTTGACTCCAAAATTTAAGATTTTCGATCTGACTCTTACTCTTAATGCTCTTAGTGAAATTTTTAATCAACACTTGCTAGTTACTACGAAAGTGTGAGATATTTTTTGCGATTGTCTGTATTCAGTTACTAGTACAGCCTACAAAATTTTTCAAGCCATCTTGACAGTGATCACATAAAAATTATATTACAGTGAGCTTGTAGTTTTAGAGTGATACTCGTTAGGAGAGTTCTAAATCTGATCAAGAGAAAATTTTCAAACTCGAATCCATTCTCGTATAGAATGAACATTGAGCAATAGGATTGAATTTATTTCATGCTTTGTATGGATAATATGGTGCAAGGAGAAAAACTTACTCTATTTAAAATTAACCAATATCGATTTGTATCGACTGGAATAAATGATTAGTGTAGCCGAATGGAATGCAACTATTAAATGAATTGTTAAAATGTCTGGTTGACGAAATTTATAAAAAAGAAATTATAAAACCAATAGTATGATTATCATAAATTGTTTTTAAAATTCATCTTGAAAAGTTTACAGTCAAGATATTTTCAATTAGCGAAAATAAATGATAATAAGTCAAATAGATTTTGAGTTATATGTGATCATAAAAATGATTTACTTCTTCATCATTATCGGTTTAGATAATAAGGAAAAAAAAGTAGCGGACAAGTGTTCAAGATGAACTTTTCTTTCAACTCTGATTCTTTTTCTTGTTACTCTCGAGAAATTTTCCATATTACGACGGAAGTTTTCCATTTGATAATTTACTTTTGATTTGAGACTATGTTCAATATGCACACTTAACTAAGCTATGAATACTCTGAAAAGAACTTGCGTCGTTAGCTTATTGCTATGAAGATACAACACTTTACAATATTTCTTAAATCAATGTCATGGTTCCTCTCATGAATACCAATAAAATTGATTTTCGAATTTCGGCTTGAATCTGTGCATACAGACAGATTTTGTCACTGTCTCTATCTTAAGATACAATTATAGTAACACAACGTCTTTTACATCATTCATATAAATTGGCATGTTTGATGCTTGTATTTCAGAATAGGAACAAATCAACAGGCTTGAAACATTCACAATAAATTACTCTTCTTAAAGCCTGCCTCTATGCAAAGTTTCAAGTTGAAAATAAGTTTTACTGGTATTCCTGTGGGCAACCATGGCATGCATTTTAAAAAATACGGTAAACGTGTAGTATCTTCCAATTAATAAGCTAAGGATACGAGCTCTTTTCAAGATATTCTTAGCTCATTTGGATGTACATTAATCACATAGTCTAGACTCAAAGGAAACTTATCAATTGAAGAACTTTCCATGTCAGTAGCAAACATTTTTATTTATGATAAAGTTATTACACGTGTATGCTCAAGCTAAAATTCTGTCATCTTTGATCTCTATTGTTTTGCATGGAGAAAATTTCGATATAAATTTTCACCAATTATCTATCTGTAATTTAATATAAAGGTTTCAATGAAATTACAAATCATAATTTTTATTATTTCTTAATTTTATCATAATATTCTTCGCTACTTATATTCAATTTATGTAATTTAACGAAAACTTTTGTTAGTTTCTATACGTGTCAAATTTATTCTTACTTTATAACTATTGAAATCATCTTGAAGTGTATCACTATAAAAAAAAATTGATATAATCAATATATTACCTATAAAAACTTACTAATCTTGTTTTACAATATCTAAGTCGTGTTTAGCAATACGTAAATTTTGTTCTAATAGACTAATAGTTCGTTGACTTGTATCATTATGATTATTTAATTTTTCTAAATTTCAATTAAAAAAAATTCAAGATTACATCATAAGAAAAAAAACAAAAACAAAATAATTTAAATTCATTACCAATTAATTGTTGTTTTTCATTTTGTAAATGATTAATCAATATTTTATTATTATCTAAATCATTTTGTAGTTTTTCAATTAATACTCCTGTATGATCATCGTTATAATGTCGTTGTAATTCAAGATCTTTAGCATATTGTAATTCTTTTTTTATATTATCTAAAAGTGCTTTAAGTTTATTAGCACGTTCTTCATTTTGTATATTTTGTTGTTCTAAATTGTTGTTTTCAAGTTTAAGACACGTATATTTATCTGTACAATTAGATAACTCATCATGTAAGTCTTGAATTTCTTTATCTTTATTAATTAAATCATCTTTTAAATTTTTAATTGTTTTTTCATAATCAGCTAATTCAAGATCAATTAAACTTTGTTTTGGTTGATGTTGAGCTTTTTCTTGTAATTCTCTTTTAAGACGTGTTAATAACATTTTCATTTTTTGATATTTTTCTTTTAATTCCTATTTGTAAAAGAACGATAATAAAAATTTATTTATTTATTTATTAATAATATCTTACTTGAATATTTTCACCCGGATCAGATATTTGGTTTTTTATTTTATCATTTGATTCAATAATAACTTGATTATGTATTTCATTTTCTTTTGATATAGCTTCTAATTCTGATTGATGATTATCGATAACAATGGCTTGTTTTTGTTCATTATCGTTTACTGATTGTTTTAATTGAACGTCTTGAATAGAAGTTTTATTTAAATCTAATTCATGTTTTCGATTCTCCATAGTCTAAATCATTTTAATTTTTACATTAATATGATCAAGTTTAGATATGTTCGAATAAAAATATAACGTATGGATTTTTTTTTCTACATGATTCAAATCTTCGTAGTATTTCAAATACCTTTTTGATCTCTCGAAAAAGAAAAGTCTCCACCAATAAACAAACCATTTCTAAAGAATTTAGTATAAATTCTTTCTCTATGTAAGGAAATGGGATTTTAAGTTATTTCTGAGATGAATCGAACTTTTTTGCTTTGAATATTAAAGTATCACTTATTTATACACAGAAGTAAGATCGTAAAAGAAATTAGCTGATGTTTTACACTTTCTAATCCGTAAAAATACTTGCTCCTTTCTTTTTGAAATCATGAAAATGAAATCAATGTAATAAAGTTTCTCAACATTCGTTGCAATTTTTGATCAATATATACTATAGTTGATTTTTTTCCAAATAGTTTCTATTTACTAGTCAAAATCAAGAACACCTACAGCAAGTATGTGCAGAGCGAGCTTTTTCTATACCCTGCACATCTTTAATTCCACGTAAGGATGTTCAGTTTCAGTAAACTGTTCTTCGCAAACTTATACTACCATGGCTTATGAAAACTGTTCAACGCTTATTCTCCTTCAGGTATTTAAATGTTTCTAAGAAATGAATCTTCTTGTTTCTGATAATAATAACTTTAAATATTTTTTTTTTTGGTAATTATGTAAAACTTCAATAAAGTTAAAATTTGGAACATACTTGTTGTAACTGAATCTTTTCTTGATCAATTGTTTGATTATTTGTTTCTAATTGTTGTTTCAAATCATCAATATTCTATAAAATAAATGAAAATAATATATATATAATTTATTTCGAAAAAAAATTTTACTTTGATAAATTCGGATTTTTCTTTTTCTAAATTTACTATTTTAACTATTAATAAATTAATTTCATCGATTAAATTATCTTTTTCTTCTTTCATATCGTAAAATTTTATTTTTAATTCTTCACATTCAATATTTAATAAATTTAATTGTTTTTGATAATCATCAGTTTGCTGATTTTTTTCTATAATAAACTTATTTTTTTCTTTTAAATCATTATCTAATTGTTGATTTTTTTCAATTAATTGTTTATTTTCATTTATTTTTATTTGAATTAAATCATTTAATTCATTTTGTTGTTTCAATTTTAATGAACATATTTCATTTTGATTTTGTGTTGCATTTATTAATAATAATTTTTGTTGTTCTAAATCATTTTGAAATTGTTTTATTTGATTTTGATATTGTTCAATAAGATTTTCTTTTGACTTTTCATGTTGTTCTAATTCAATTTTAAGTAAACGAATATTTTCATTACGTTCTAATAAATAAAAATGTTGATGTTCATAATCAATTTTTAATTTTTCAAATAATTCATATTGTCGTTGTAATTCGAGATCTTTTTCATTAAGATTTTGATTTAATTGTTTTAATTGTTGTTCTAATTGTTCAGCAATACGATATTTTTCTAGTAGTTCATAATAAGAGAGTTCAATTTGTTTTAATTGATCAAAGTTTAGTTTATCTAATTAATGAAAAAGAAAAAAAAATATTGAAAAGATGTTTGTACATTTTTTGAGTTCAAATTTATACAAACCGATATTTTCATGTTTAAGAATATTTTCTAATTCTATCGTTTTTTCACATTGTTTAGCAAGTTGTTCTTCTAATTGTGTTTGATGTTGTTTTAATTGTTCATAAGAATTAGTTGAGTAAAGACGTTTTTCTAATTGAGTTATTTTATGTTGTTGTTCTTCATTGTCTTTTAATAATTGATCATATTGAGAACGTAAACGAATAAGTTTATGTTCAACTTCTTCGGATACAAATTTAAAATTATCGAATTCTAATCGAATGTATGGTAAAATTTTCTATAAAAAAAAAACAAAATTTTATGGAAATAGATAATTAATTGGAAAGCATCTATACAAGTATTTTTGGATTTAAATTTGAAAAAATCTGAATCGAAAACTGAAAGGATTATAGTATGATTTATTTTTTTGCGTAATCTTAAGTTATTACAATTCATTTAAGTATGGAATTAATGATCGACCATGATAGTTTTTCAAATTATGCAATTTAATAAATTAATCATTTGAGAAATTAAATACGTAGTTGATCTAACTACTAATTTGCAAAAAACTAAATCAGCATCATCATGTATCTATGTCAATTCTAATGTAAACAAGAAATGTTTAGTTAATTTCTCTTTCAATTTAGAAGTTGATACATGCTATATTGAAAAGAAAATGTTAATTGTAAAACATTCGAATATATGTAACCAGAGAACACGAATAACATACATATTAAATTGTTAGTTCTTTTCTCCACTGTTGATCTTGACAAAATAAAAAAATTTGTTATCGTCTGCAAGCAAGATAAATACAATTTTTTCATGCGAAACTTTAGCAACGATTAATAAACTTGTCAAAGATATGCATACAGTCTAAAATGTCATGTCAGTCATCGCTTCGCCTCATCTAAAAAATATTATTGATGACGAATTTTTATTACAAATATGTCAAGTATATATACTAATTATGTACAGTCGTTTAGGATCGTGCTACAAAAGAATACGACTATTTATACGGCCCAACATAACTATCGTATATCTTCATGTTGCATACAAAATAGGATGATTTACGAAAATGAATATATATGATTATTGTCTTCTCACATGGGTATTACGTATGGACCTCATATTCTACGCTCTGTATTGACTCTACCATCTCTGTATGGTATGTCTGCGGCATTGAATAAAACAAATAAACTACACATAGATTTTATTAAAATACAAAACAAACAACGAATAGCCATCAGTTATTTTTTATAGATGTAGTTGTGTACTTGACAAATATGAAAGTATCGTTATAGTAGACTGGGAAAGTCAACAAACCTTACAAGACTCCGTATTCGATTATGTTTGCATCGATCTGTAACGAAGCAAGACGAGGCAGTCTGATAATAAAACGCTTCGATATCTGTAAAACTTGTTTCATACTGAGGATGCACTTTCTATGGACATTATTTTTTCCTAAGGTTACATTTTCGAGAGATATAAGACTGAAAATTCTTTAAAGAGAAATTCTCTTCTAATATGCGAAGCTTCTTAACTGATTATGCACTTCGAGGTTTCGACTATGTAAATCATATAGATTCTAATAAACTAGAAGTACCTTGAAAATATTCAGATTTCTTAGCTTATTGTTGCTGAAACGAATTTGACTTGAAAATTTCCACAGAAACACATCTTAAGGAGAGCAGTTTTCTCTGAAAGTTTCAGGTCTTTTGATTTCTGACCTTGCTGAAATAAGAATCACAAATCTAGCTCTATATATCAGCGATGTAAGAGACAAGTTTCTATCATAGCTGTGTCATAGAATGGAATCAACGAAATGATCGGAAACTTTCACAATAACCTATTCTCATGAATTTCTGTCTATATGAAAAATTTCAAGTCGAAATTCGAAAATCGGTTTTTCTACTATTTCTGAGGAAGTTCACGGTATTGACTTGAAAAATACTGTAAAAATAAAATATCTTGGGAGCCATAAGCAAAGTAACCGAGTTCTTATCAGTTCACTCATAAGCGATTCAACAGTTAGGAAACTTCTCTCACAAACTACAAAGTTTAAATTTAGAGAAAAAATTTCAAATAGAAATTTCATTAAGGTTTAATTTTAAATGAATCTTTGTTTTCTTTTTCTTTACCTGTTCAATTGGTTTTTCAATAATAATTTGCCAAGCATCAGATCTAATTGTTTGATTCATTCCTGTATAAATTCTTTCGAAAAGTGTATCTAATACAATATGATCATGTTTATGAATTAATATTTTACATTGTTCATAACCATTATTTTGTAAAAATGAAACACAATCTTTATAATAATCACTATCAATTAATGAATTTCTTGATATATCATTATTTTTAAGTAAAATATATTGTAAAACTCGACAACGTTCAATTAATATAGTACATAAACGAAGTACACTTTCAAAATTTAATGGTACAGAAAAATCTTCATCTGTACAATTTGTTATACCAATGGAATGTAATAGTGTTGGAATATCTGATGAAAGAAGTAATGATGATGTTGATGATGCTTTGGATATATGTTGATTTTGGTGACCTATTTGAATAAGAATATAATCCATACATTGAGAAATAATTTCATCAATATTTTCATCTGTTTGATGTAATGTTAACAATGATGATTGTGAAGATTTTTCATATGTTGTTAAATGATGATAATGACTTTCACGTTGTAATTCAAGAAATTGTTCTTCAAAATCTTCAATTTGTCGACGATAATTATCAATTTCTTTTTCCCTTAGTTGTTTATCTTGTTGATAATTCATTGATTTTAATCTTAAATCATCAATTTCTAATTTTATTTCTTCATTTAAAAATTCTAAATCTTCAATACGTTGTTGTAAATGACGTTTTTCTTCTTCTATATTTTCAAATAATTGTTTAAAATTTTCTTGTTTTTGTTCTAATTCATTTTTGTAGATTTGAAAAAATTCACTATTATTTATATCTGATAAAGATATTGGTAAATGTAACAGATCAATTGTTGTTGAGATAAATTTTGATAAAAGTGCAAAATGAGATGAAGATTTTTGAGATTCATTTGTTAATGATGAATGAACTGTTGAAAGTTTATTTTGAAGTGTCTTAAAAATAAAACGAAGATCTAAGGTTCACATAAAAAAATCCGTCTCGAACTCGAAACATTCAAATCCTATGAAATTTTCAGGATACGTTAGGATAGTAGTGAATAGGCTATGCTAAAATTTTAAGCTTAATACCATATTGTTCTAGGTACAGATTCAACAAACAAAGATCAAAAATAGTTCATTTAGCAAACTAAAATTCTTCGTGAGCTCTCATTCTATAAATCTAATTTTTATATTTGAAAGCGCATGTCAGCCTGTTATGATTTTTCTCTTTTTAAATTCTTACTTTTTATGTAGAGCAGAAGGATGACAACAGCCATACTTCAAAAAAAAAAGATCATCCATTTATAGAACTACTTTTTTTTATATAACAAAAAGTTTTATTCAAAACATAGGTGCTGTAACAGTTTCACATGCTCATTCAATTGAAAAGAAGAGACATTTGACTAGTATGAAGTTTTTTTCAGAGTTTTTGGATACGCCATTAGAAAAGCGAAAAAGATTTGCTACTTTGTCTGAAAAAAAGTATATTTTTCAAGCCCAAATTAACAGAAATCATAGTAAAAATTGGCTTTCTTAGGTGGCATGGAAAGATTTCAATAAATATATTTACTGATATTTCATCTTGTAAATTTTGACATGAATTTTTTAATGTTTCATTTTGTAATCGAAAGATTTCTAATGATTCACGTGTGACCTAAATTGAAAAACCAAATGAGGAAAAAAAGGTTTTTTAAAAATATAAATTTACACTGAGTTCTTCTTGAACTTTTGATTGATTAATTTTATTTTGATCAAATTCTAGCATTAATTTAGAATACTTTAACTGTTCATCATCAATTTGTTTACGAAGTTGCTAAAAAAAAACATAAAATTTTTTATTTTATTAAACAAACAAATTAATCAATTTTATTACTTGTTCAGTTTCACTAAAATTCGTATTTGATAATTCAGTTATTTTAGTTTCAAGCTTTTTTCTAAATAGAATTTGATTTTTAACTACTTTGATTAACTCGTCTTTAGACATTGATTCCAACTTAAATATATAAAATACAAATAAGTATATTGAACCATTGCTTTTTTTTTCTTATTATACAAACTTTTCCAAGTCCGGATGATTTATCATCGTGGGCTGTTTTCCCACTAGATGTTATATCGTCGCTCATTATTATTATTTCATTTATTCAAACATAAAAACAAAACAAAATTTGATATTAAATCATCTAAAAATAAAGGTTAAAAAGTGTTTATAGATTTTTTACATAACATAAAAAGGTTCGTAGTACTATTGTTCGTTAATATGATGTTGTAATAAACCTTCTGGATGTATATACACATATGGAAATGTATTTATTCTTACACAAGCCAATATTGTCTAACATATGGTAACAGAATGTAAGCGAACTATTTTTAATGCTTCAGGGAAATATAAGTTGTATAGAAATACGCTCGATTTTTTCTCTGTAGAAAAAAGCCGACATTTTTTTTTGTCTTATATCCATATGAGAAAATTTTACTGTTCGGCGATGAAAGCTGAGAGATCGATGAAAGAAGCATTTCATCAGAACAAATTGTTATTTTTCTATTCGATACATTAAAGAACTTTTTCTTTTTGTATATTAGACCAATTGTCTGCTATCTATCAGAGACCTTGGAGAGCTTATGACATTCTCGTCGATTGGATGTAGATAGAAAATGATTAAGAAACATAAAAAGAAATGAGAGAAAGTTACGCCTCGTTGAATCAATCATGGGAAAAGAGAATATATAATACCGATGAGATACAATAAATAAACAAAAATAATAATAACTATTAGAGATGAAGTGCATAAAATTATTAAATATTCATTGTTCTTGTCTTTGTGGAATTTAATCAATTTTTGCTTTTCGATACAAATCAAACATAGCAAAGATAAAATCAATAATTTTTTTCTAATACTGAAAGTAATCATAAGGAAAAGTATGTTGTCGAGCGTCAAACTAGACATATTTCTATATGCAGTATTCAAGGTCACATTTTACTTATATTTAATAACTTTACTAAATTATTTCTTTAAGATCAAATAGTGAAATGATATGAACAAGTTCTATAAAATATACGTATATGCATACATACAGTAACATAGTTCGATAATATTCAAATAATAGCAATGTTTTAATCATCTTCTACTCTTTTTTAGTATCAATTAGAATGTGAATCTGATTTTTTTGTAATTTTGTCATCGTTCATTTATTTTTCGTTATTAAATTTTTTATAATCATATTAGATTTTATATGGTCGTACCGAATTTGTTACATCTAAATACATATATTGATACTTCGACTCACTTGAATACTAATAAACTACTGATGACATAGGAAATTACGTTGAGATTAAGAGAAAAAGTTTCCTTTTTCTCTTCTCTTGAGAGTTTTAGATATAGTAATAAGATGAAGTATGACATTATTTAATTGATAGCTATACTTTATGGGTACGGAAATTGAATTTAGAGAGAACTTTTTCCGGAACAAAAAGAAATCTTACATAGGCTCAGAAGAAAAGATAATTTTTTTCCTAATCAAATTACTTAAAAATGATTCATTATTGAACGCAAAATATATAGATGTCAAATTCACTTAAAAATTTTTTGTCATCCTTGAAAATTTTTCATATTGACTATTTTCTTCCTATTCCATAGGAAAATTTTCAATTGTCAATTACAATGAAAAAATATATACACGAGAAAAGGATTTCCTATATCTCTAGAAATAATAACTAATTTATTATTTTGCTTTGTCTCATTATTTATAATAGACTTGCTAAATGGTTAGTTGTCATCATATTATCAAAAAACGCGATAAATGCTAAACGTTTTCTACTACTATTAACTATGGTAATCAAATGATAGTTTTAGTCTTTAAGAAAGTATGCGCATAAACAAAGAAAAAAAAAGAATTTCGATAGAATAAAGAAGAGAACAGGTTTATTGTTTATTCTAGGTAACCGGTTAAAATCAAGAAACAAAAAAAAACCAAAGAAAAGCAACATTGCATCTTTTTCTTATTCCTGTAAACTTTCAAATCAATTATCTGACATTATTTCACTTTTTTTTCACTTTTCTTCATATTTGATTGTATTGTAAGTGATCGTAGAAGTTTAATAAGAATATATCCATGACAAATATGTAAAATTAAACTACTAGTAAATGTTGACGGATATGTATTCCATGATGATTCAATTAAACCAAGTATCAAAAGACTAATAAAAACAAAAGTTTTGAATAAATTTTGAAATAATTAACATTATTATTTAAAATAACGTACTTAACAATATCTTTTGAATTTATACTCCATAATAAATGATATAACATATGATAATACCAAACATAAAATTGATAATGAAGTGAACGACAAAAACAAATACCAATAAAATTTGAATAGAACATAAATGTTATTATTGTATCATCTGATAAAATATAATTATGATGATAATTAAGGAGTTCATCAAATTTTTTAATATTCCTATTGAATATTATAATGATACAAAATGAAAAAAAAAAATATATATATATATATTTCGATTTGCATTAAACTTACTTTAACCATTGATAACGACAAACATAAAATAAAATAAATATATGTATTATTAATAAACTTAAATGAAAATAACGATTAAGAAATATATGTTCAGGTATTAAACGCCAATTTACAGTCCATATATAGAAAAATTGACGACCAAGATCAAATGAACGAATAATATAAGCCATAGGATTTGATAAAAGAAATGGTATAGCAAAGATTAACTGTAATCATTAAATTATTAAAAAAATAATTAGATAGAAAAGAAAAATTCAATTTTTACTTGTAATAAACCACAATAGAATATATATTTGAATGTTTGACTAAGTCCCACTGAAAGTACAAGAATAAAAAATAGTCCTGGTGCCATTAGTAAAATATTCATTTTAATTGATACAGCCAAACTAAAATATAATTAAATGTAATAAAAAAAAAAAATATTTAATTTTTTTTTGTCATACCTATAAAGAATGCAAGCTATAGTCCATTTTCGATGAAGAAGAAAAACAATTGAAATATATAAAAATGTCATTGCAATAGGATCGTTAAAAAGTCGAAGAACAAAAATTGAATGAATACGATATGCTAATAAACACATAAATATATATGCATAAGGTGGAACCTAGAAAAAAAAAGTTACATAAATTACATCTAATTTCTTTAATGGATGGTGTAAAAGTTCTATCTTTAATTTTAAATTTACTATAGTATGAGAAGAATTCATTGTGGACACTTGATAGTTTTTTGTTAGTTTCTCTTACAAAACTGTATAAAAATATTATGTTTAAAATATCTTAATGAAAGTTAAAAAGTTTTGAAAACATGTTTGGGTAAAAAGGAGTCTTGCATTTGGCCATTTCACGTGTGAGTGTAAACGACGTAATTCAAGTTTTCCACTAGTATCAACATATTCGAGTGATACAACTACAGTTTTTATAATAAACTGTTTTATTCTGCTTTATATAATGTACTTTTATAAACAGCTCATTAAATATAGTTTCACAAGCTTCGATTGCTGAAAAAAGACCTGGTTGTTTGACAGTACTTGTCAGTTGTGAACACTGAATTTCGAATTTAATGAATAACTGAAAAATTTTATCTTTCCGTTTTTATAATGCTCTATCGTAGCGCTACTAAATTCAATGAAAGCTAGCAAATATAATTAATATTATTAGTAGATAGAGGTTTCCTTCCTATTTTCAGAAGCGTTCAGAGAACTTCTCCACTCAAACATGTTTTTTAAGCTCTTCTAAAAAAACTCAGTTTTTGTCAGAAGGGTCGAAATCAAGATAAATGCAGGAGAAGATAAGTCCATGGTCTAATCTCTCATAAACGACAAAAATTTTTCATCGACATCTCATTTTTTTTCACAAATTTTTGAAGATTGCTGTCATCGTCTATTCAAAAAATAAGTCATTTTAGAAAAAAAAATCGAAAATCTGTTTCGTTTTCTCTCCACTCATGATATGTCGAACGCATAATCTAAATTTCTCAGTCCAGGACTATGTGATGTATTAAACATTTTTTTTTTGGAAAGACTGCGTTCTGACATTTTCGTTCAAAGAAAAAAAAAATTCAATATATAAAATGAACCTGAACCGAGAAATTTGGGTTGACAAATGAGCAATTATTACCCTTGTCCGATAGATATTTCCCTCAAACGTCATGATATTGCGCTCAAAAATTCTATCATAGCTTTTCTACTACAGCTCCAATATATTCTGAAAACTTCATGTCATTTGAACATTTCTGGGCTAAGACTGTTTTTTTTTCAGGCAGAGGGTCTTAAAAGTTTTCAGCCTTCGGTAAATACTTTGATGCAGCTTTTTATTTCTAACTAGTCTTCATGATGAGTTATTGTCACGATTATACTGAAAACAAAATTTAAGATAGTACTTTTGCATCATCTGTTAAAAAAGAGATAGCAAAATAAAAACCTTTGCATTTCGATAATAAATATAGAACACAGCTGAGATCATAATTAAATATAGACAAGCAAAGAGATATTGAGCAAGATGAATATTATTACCAAAATTGGTTATATAATAAAATATTAAATAAATATAAACGAAACCAGCTGGATAACTAAATGGAAAAAATTTTCAAATCTTTCATTTTTAATTGTGATTTATACTTACACAAGAGGTCCAGTGTCACCTTTTAATTTATAATAATCAAATGTACCATTAACAACACCTTCAACTTCTTGCATATATGCTTGCCAATCAATTTCTGTATACTTAGTTGTTTTTATAATAAAAATGTTAAGAAATATTTCCAAAATAAAAAGACCAATCATAATATAAATTGATTTCTTTGGGTTTATAAGAAGATCCTTGTAGAAGGATAAATTTAGAAATTGTTTTAATTGTAATTTGAATCGTGTTGACAACTTCGATGAAGATAAACTATTTTTATTTGATGATCGTAATTGTGGTGGAGGCATTTTCTTATTTACCTATAGTTAAATACGAATGATCGAATTTATATGAGTGAATTTGAAGGTCTCAAAAATGACACGATATACAATATTCATGGGACAACAGTAAATTGTGGATTTTAGAAATCATCAAATGATAAATATAAGATATATACAGATGGCGACACATTATTTTCTTGTTATATATTAACAAATGACAGGAGTTTAACCAAGCAACAATAAATAAGGTTTCTTTATGTTTTTTCAGCGTTCTAGTTTACGCATAATACTAAAAAATTGCATAGTCTTAGCTGTTCGCATGATATGAATAGAAATCATAAAAATGGTTGTTGTGTAACATAATTAATTTGAAAAAATTGCATTATTAGTACAAAATACTTATTACCATTTGAATTGCGAAGTTTTCTTTACAATTAGTCATAAATATCATTTGAAAATTGATTTTTATATTAATTAAATAAATAAAAGATATAAATTAATCGACTTTTTACGATTACGGAAGCAAATTACAAGAAAGAGAAGCTTGCTAATCTTAACAAAGATGCTCATTTTATAATTTCAAATTTCTAGTTGCACTTGTTCCTTTCCACAGTAAAGTGTATATTGATCGAAATGAAAGATATGCAAAGAATTTATGGTAATTTTACTATGCATAAATAATTGGCACATTTACAAATGTTAATGTTGATAATAATAGTACTTGCATCAAACATACATCGTTGTAGAGCAGTAACACACGAGCAGAATATGAAACATCGATTCAGATCTGATTGATATTGTGTAAGATATACAGCAGATGGAAAGGAAACAATCTAACGGATGTGAAACCTAACACTTATTTATTTTTATTATAATATGCTATCATACTACTGTATTCTATAATGTTTGTTTTTTTTTGTGAGATATAATAGATATAGGACTTGATATGTATTCAGAATATAGATATATACATCGTATTGTTTATTTGATTTCTCTCATATAAGTGGAAACTTAGATAAATTAAAGAAACATTGAAAAGTACTTTGGTTTTAAAACTCAAAATTTCCTTTTAATGTATAAGGCTTAACAAGAATACGAGAAGCAATATTACTATATAAATAGTATGTATCCAATAATCATGACTATGTTCTGTTACTATTATTATGCATCAAAAACTTAGTGATAATTGAACAGAATTTAACAAATACTTTAAATTCATTCTTCAATACGATTGAACATAATAAATTGATCATTATTCACACACATGTTAATCAGGTTTACCGTTAATATTTAACATACGGCTCAATTATTGCATTGCACCATGCATATGGCGTAAACACGATCTTGAGGAGTGATCAATTTTATTACTCAATAAAGAAAGTCTACTGAATAATGTTTTCATACAAGCGAACGAATAGACAAAAAAATATGAGATAGACTCGGAAAGAAGTACAAATGGAAGAACCAGATAATCTGAACTAGACAAGGAGGAAAAAAACCTTCCGAAAATGCCGGAAAGCATAGAAGAAGGAGTAGAGAAACGATTTATACTATAAGCAAATCACAATATGACATGTCCATATTTTTCTTTTTTATTTTGTTCTTTACCAACGAATGTATACCAACACGTCAAATGTCATGACATACGAGATAAATCACGAACAATACACATCAAAAATTTTACGTTCTACAGCCCAAGATTCACCATTAATGGAATTATCATCGACACAAACTAATAGATCATCTGCTGGCACACAACAGTTAGTTAACCAACAACCAAATGATTAACCCAATCGATCATGTCCAATTTGTTTCGAATTATTCAACAATGATTGTTGCCGAGAAACACTAACTTCTTGTGGTCATTCGTTTTGTGAAATCTGTTTACGAAAAACATTACAAATAAAAGCTTTCTGACCTATTTGTCGTCAATATCAAATACAAGACAATGACAACAATCAACATTCCGCACCAATACACCTTGATCATAATGCACCTGGGAATCCACACATAGTGTGTGCTTACTTCAGTGAAGAAATTATAGATGGAAATGGAAGAAAAATCAGACCTGTTCACCTTTCTAATGGTGAACAAACATGTATTCGTGTTAGTAGTGATGCCAAAATTAATGTTTCTAATTGCGCTATTGTTATTAATGGAAAGCAAGTTCAAAATTTTTCTGATTGCAATGAACAATAAAAATTCCTTAACGAAAAACTCTCATCTTCTCTTCGTTACGTCAACTTCATTTAACAATGATTCCAAATAATAAATTAACCCGTTAAGTATGAAACTTGTTGAAGTTTTATTAAAGAACAATAAATAAAAATTAGAACAAAAGAAAAACAAAATATTCAAGTGTCTGTTGATGTTCGTGCAGGTAGGCTAGTTCGTTTTTTTTGCTTCTCACTATGACGTCGATTTTTAAACCATTGCTAGAAAAAGATAGTAGATTTCATGTTATTTGTTGATCAAGCAGAAACTAAAATAAGAAACTTACACGAACTTTCTCCATAGGAACTTTCAATTGTGAAGCTAATTGTTCTAGAGCATCTGTTGATGGATGAGAATCATGAATAAATGTTTGATGAAGTATTTGAAGTTCATGTTTTTTAAAACACTTATGTCGACGAAGAGGTGTATGATCAACATCAGAATGTATGATAGTCTCTAGAAATTAAAGAAATGGACATTAACAATAAGAGTAATTATATTCTTTGCTCTAAAAGGTTAATATCGGAAAATATCTCACTTGATTAACATTTCTTATCGATATAAAAGAAAAGAAAGATTTGATACATACGTTGTTGAATACAAGAAGAATATACTTGCGGTGGTTCTTGTTGATAATAAGTATATGAATGAGGTGATACATTCATTGATGTTGATGCTGGAGGTGTATAAAAAGTATGAGATGAATGAACAGGACAATGTAGTTGCAATAGAGGTAAATAAACAGATGTAGATGCATATGGTAATGAATATTCGAAAGGATAATTGTATGATGATGAATATTCATTCGACGAAGGTGAAAAGTAGTTGTTGTTCATGTTTGTTAAATAAATGTTAAACAAGAAAATTTGAATAGTGAAAAATCTTTAACTTACATTTCTTATAAATAGTTTTATAATCTGTATGAAAATGATAAATGACGAATTGTTATATGTTTAATGAGTAATGTCTTATTTCTCAGAACAGACTATATAACAGTGTTCTTAATTAATACTCGTCATTATGGAGCATTTTAATCATTATCATAGTAATTAGTATCTATTAGACGTAGATGATTGTTTTAACGATACGATATTATGAATTAGCAAAAACAAAAATCAGTCGATTTCCCTATCATCGATGTTATGTTTATTGAAAAAAAAGCGAAAAAAAACGAAACAAAGAATAATGCAGTGTACAAGAAAATTATTGAATACTGCAAATATGTCGAATAGATAATCGTGTGTGTTTTTTTTGTTCATTAAAAATTTCTGGTTTCAAATTAGAATTAAAAGAAACCTCCTGAAAATCACTCTCCGATGATGATGATGATGATGATGATGATAAATCAGTAATATTATTTTCTGAATAATCATTAATACTATCAAGACATGAACGAAAACTGCTAGGTCTTGAAATAGAATCACTATCATCATAAGTATCATCGAAAATGGTCATAGGTAACATATCAAACTCATATGAATGATAATCAAATTTATTAGTATTTTGACGTGAATGAGGAAGTAGAGGTGTTGATGGATATCGATTTGTTGATTGGGATGAAAGTCGATTGTCTGATACTTCATAATTTGAAATTGAATGAGGAAAAACATTCTTTTTTTGATATATTCTATGTGATTTCTGTTGAATTTTATCATTATGAAAAGAAGAATCTGAACAATGCATATTTGTTAATTTTGTTGAAGAATAAGAATCATTTTGATGGATTGTTTGTAAAGAAGAACGTTTTTGTAATGGTGATTCAATAATAACAGGTAAGTGAGAATGACAATGATCATCAAACTATAGTTTTATCATTTTATAAAAGTTTAAATTCTAAATAATAATATTGACTTACTCGATACTGCATTTGTTTATTGACTATGTTTGAATGAATTTGTCTATTTTTAAATGAATGAATTTGTAGAGAATCATTCGATTTCCATGACCAAGAATCTGATTTTTTCCAAGACGATGATGATGTAGTTGAGGGTAATGGTTTAGATTTATTATTCAAAATATTTGTATTATCTGAATCAATCTGTTTGACAACAGATTGAATCTCAGGTAATGAAACATATGGAGATATTCGAGAATCCGATGGCTGTTCAAATTGATTGACAGATGATGTTTGCCGAGAATATGATGGTAAATCACGAAAAGTAAATTTCGGAATAGGTCCATTATCTTAATCAAATAAAATGAAAAAGCAAAAGAAAACTCAATATTAAATATTCTAGACAACAAAAAATTATATTTACGGTTAAGTAAAACACGACGTTTTTGTTTAGGTATTTTATCAATAGCTTGTAATGATGATTGATGAATATTTTGTAGATGAACACTGCGTCGAAGTCGAACAATAGAATCATTTAACGATGAAGATGTTAAAGATGAATTTGATAATGGAAAACGATGTTTAATAATTTGTCGCCATTCTTGTTGAGCTGATGGTAATGGTTTATTAGATGATACAATATTTATTAAAGGCTGAGAAGATGAGAAACCAAATAAATTTTTATCATTTAAACGTTGTTGTATTTGTGAATTAAGATCAACACTACCAGCCATTGTTATTTGATGATCACACCGAAGCGATGAAGACATATGTTTAAAATCAGCTAATGTGTCCAATGGGATATCCAAACATGTAAGAGAATGTGTTTTTAATTTAATATTCACTTTTAAGGGTGATATTTGAGAATCAAGTAATGATGTATGACTATTTGGTAATTGTTGTGTAGAATGATTATTATCATAAAGAAGTTTCATTGTCTTGTTCTCTTCTGTAGATATATGTTGTCCATGAATAAAGGCTAGTAACTTTATTAATGTATATAAAATGATCTCTTGTTCTTTTTACAGTTCAATAATAATGATAGTAATGGTCGTTTTTATCATTTCTTTTTTAAAATGAATAAGGCGGCTACAACTAGTAAATCGTTGAGTGATATATGTAAGTGATCTTTTTTCGTTCATGTCTAGAAAAGTAAATATGCGATGATATTGAACAGACGTTTTGTCAAAATACATATGTTCAATAAATGATCATTTTATATTCATAACACTTCAGACAGATTTATGTAAGTTAAAACAGTATGTAATTTATCAGTTGACTCTAAGCAATATTACAATTGCTAGTCAAATTCATTTTTTCTTTTGATAAAAAGTAAAACACTTTGATGAAATGTAATAGTACTATAAATTAATATACGTTATAGTGTAATGATAGACAAAAACCGACGTTCATAAAAACGTCAAAGATTAATCTTAAGTTTTGATAATCAATATGAAACTAATGTTCATGTCAGAAATACCGAATGGTAGTGATGAGCTCAATGACTCGACTACGACGATGGTTAGCGACTCAGGATTTTCAGCAATCAAAAGACAAAGACTTTGGACATCTTTTTGTCTAACACTATATAATATAAAATTATTTTGAACTTCGACAACTTCTTAAAGCATTCAATAAAATGCATGAAAATGGTGTTTCATGATAAGAAGACTTCCATAAAAATATCAAGAGAACTCTATATAATTTGATTGATTAGATACGCAATTTTGTTTGTTCAACATTGAGATATAAGAAGATAGTCATTTGACTCGTACCTTGAACTATAGATTTAAATTTTTTTTATCAGAAGCATAGGTCGAAATCAAAATTTCATCGAAACGGAACACTATCATGATGCGCCTTTTTTTGTGAAAATGATGGATTTTAAAATTGCTTTATCGTATATAGTATCAGACAAAAAGACGTCCGAAATTCTTCTCTTTTCATTGCTGAAAACCACAGGTCTCTAACTGTTGACCTCAAGACCATTGAAATTCATATTATTCTTATGACTTGAACTATTCATATTCAGAAATAAAACTTCATAATTCACCGATAAAAATTCAATCTCTCTTTCTTTTTTTATAATCAATACATAACAGAAGTATACATCTATAATAATCTAACGTCTTTTGAGTACATCTACATATACCTCTTACAAATTGAGTATGTCGCACGATGTCGCTTTTATCAATGTTTTGAAAAAGGTGAGCAGTGCATATAATTTACTTAGTATAACCAATAGAAAATCAAAGTGCAAAAAGACAATACTCGAGAACACATCAACAAAATACTAAATGCATGATATTTGATTTCAGCAATTCTTATCGAATCAGCATTCGATAACTTGCGTATCAACCAAAATTGACATATGTAAGTTGATGAACATAAAATTCTTATCATCTTTTTGTTTTCATTAACCTATACAAAATTATGTGAATACACTTACGATCTGTATCATTTTAACATTTTATTATCGAATGTGTTTGACCTTCCAGTTTTTATGTTAACAAATGATCATTATCACATGACACATTCTACAATCATTTTATATAGATTTTACTTTTTCCATGTATCTAACAGGAGCGTAAATAGGGGGAACGCGTGGGGCGTTACGCCCCCCTACTTTTGAAATTCTCTATAGCAACGCCCCCTGGTTTGAAAAATTGCTTATGTAGTACGCCCCCCTCCCACAAAACTTGAAAGTTTTCGTTATTTTCACTAGTAAAAAGGGCGAAAGCAGACTTGAAGTAGAAGCTTACTAACTCTTTGGCAAAAAGTGCTGAATTAAATAAGTCTATATCAAACAAGATATAAAGTGAAAAAAAAAAACATTTTCGCTTCGCGAAAAGTGAGAACTTTACAATTACAACTGACCTAAGAAGTTTGATATATCATTTAAACATTTTCTTATAGTACTTTTTACGCGTAAGAGTTTTATTTTTTAAATGGTCACGAGCTCGGTCGTCTTCGGCGGCAAAAACTTTTAAACAAATATCAATGGTTTCATTCAACGACCATTTAGTTTTTGGAACGCAACAACACTGAAATAGAATTGAGACCTGCCGACAAAGCAATTTCGCTTGCATAAATGGTATCAATTGCATAAGCCTAACCATATTTTGAAGGCTTAAAACCTATTTCTAGGAAGTTTCTATCAATGCTGCGTTCTATAAAGTATCATTTTCATCAATAGTCGCTGACGTAAACGCCTTCGGCGTTAGACACGTCTAGAGACGCTTTTGACTCCATACGATAACAGTTTTCTTCGTCAAAATGAAGGAAGGTAGAAAAATCAAATTTTTTTCATATTATAAGATGTTTCTACGTTAAAAGTATTTTTGTAACACAATGAGCAAAAGAAGATTACAGTGCTGAAAAATATTTAGATGGGTCTCTCAATCTGGATTATCTCGGAACAACCGTGTATCCCTTTTGTACTCATCCATTTTTCTGTCATTACATCTTTGTGTGCGTCTCTCTTCTTTTTAATCCATGCTTTTTTTCTGCTGTAGTGTTTCTCATGTAAAAAATTTGGATTAAGAATCAGGTTAAAAATTGATTATAATGGCACTATTATAACCTGATTCAAATCAGATTTTTCAGCTTTAAATGACAAATTTTATTTGATTTTGATTGTTTTAAAGCTATTATTATAGTTGTTGTTGGTAATTGATTAAAATCGATAGAAAAAATGATAATCAAATAAAATTTGTCACTTAAAGCTGAAAAATCTGATTAAAATCAGGTTATAATAGTGCCATTATAATCGACTTTGAATCTGATTCTCAATCCAAATTTTTTACATGGGTTCCTGAACTGTATTGTCTACACAAAAAACACGTAGCAAACAACTAGAAATCCATTTTTTTAGGCACGCACTATCTCAGTCAAAAATTTTTTTAATCTCTCCCCAAAAAAAAACAATTCAAAGGACTACGCCTCCTGCCTTCAGTGGTGACTTACGCCCCTGGTATCTTAAAGCATTAAAAATCTATAATG